CCTTAGGCCCAACCATATGGCATAGCAAACATTTGTCCACAATTCAAATTAACAAACTTATAAGGCTTATAGGGGAGATAAGTAATTGGACAAATAACATACTTCAAAATATCTTTATTAAGATATTACTCACAGTGATCGGCTGGTTGATTTGCCCTGGAGCTTGACCCTACACATTACATAACACATATGGGTCACAAACGATTCAATCCGTTCTTACTCATACATTCCTCTTAGGCTTCTTTCCTATCCTTTTAATTCATTCATAATGCTCAATGCATGCCTAAGAGTGCTTTAAAAGTGAAAGAGAATGGAAAATGAAACATATAACATCTTTACAAAATTTCTGAAACAGGGGTCCCCGCTTGAGCGTGGACTTTCTCGCTCGAGCGAACCCATTAGGTCTGCAAAAGTACTGGTTACCTCGTTTTTACGCTCGAGCGTGAATTCGGGCGCTCAATCTGAAAGTCTCACTACATGGCTCCTCGCTTGAGCGTGAATCTCCCCGCTCGAGCGAACATCCAAGTCTGCAAAACTTCTAGGAACTCGTATTTCCCGTTCGAGCGTCGGTTCCCCTGCTCAAGCGGACTTCATGAATTATGGGTTTTCCAGAATTGTTCTTGAGCTTCAAACACACATTCAAGTTGGTATTTCTTGCATTTTACAGCCCACATTTCTCATATACATATACCATCATGATATAAACACCAAATTACAACATTGAGAAGCCTAAATCCCATGAATCAAATACATGCATGCTCCAAATTACACCAAACTCCTTCCCACATAACAAATTCATGCATTCAAAGCTCATACTCTCATGAATTGTACATGCATGTGAGATATAACTCCCATTTTCAACTTACATGGTGCAAGTGGTGATCACAAACATGAACTTTAACCAAAATTCTACATGGATCATACTTCCTATGCTCAACTATACAAATTCATGGCAATTATACACATGCATGCATTCCATGACTTCAAACTCATCAAACACAACACAATTCTTGTTCTTGATCACCATTCAACTTTGAATTCACAAAATTACAATATTAAACTCATGAATTCATAACCAATTACTCACCTAGAAGCTCAATCTTCCCAATTTATGGTCAAATCTTGAGTTGGTCTTCAAATTACTCAAGTTTCTTGCTCAAATCTTCCATTTCCTTCACCCTCTCTCTCTTTAGTCAACCCTCTCTCTCTCTAAGGTATAAAATCTGATTTTGAGCTCAACAAATGAGTATAAGTGCACATTGGTCCCCTTTTCAAAGAGCCCCCATAATTACAATTACTTAATACTAATTAATTAAGAACCATTAAATTAATTTAATCTAATTAATCTGATCCAAATCAATTTTCAATTAAATTTCACCGTAGGCTCTAAAAATTACGCAATCACAATGGCGTAGTCAATTTCGGTTTCTGTGGCCGATAGGGCCTTCAATTTTCAGTTGCGATATAACTAGTAAGGTTGAACCAGATATTCCTACCGTGACATATAAGAAATCGAAACCACATATATTCACTATAAATGGCACTCAAAAATCATATCAAACACATAATTTCACATTTTCTTATTAAAGGCAATAGCATAATACAGAACGAGGTTATCACACAGAGGGTGTTGCTTCGAGCACACACTTGGTTGCTCCGAGTTTGTTGTAAAAACTGCAAAAGTACTAGACGGTCCATTTTACGCCTTTCGATGCGTCGCCTCGAGCCAACGACCCAACAGTTTTGCAAGATACTGGATGCTTCAAGCGACGGATCCTCTCGCTCGAGCCGAATTAGACGAATTCTAGGCTTTCGCAAATTTGTGTTTGAAGTCAAAAACACCCATTTCAATTTCAAAGCTTGCTTTGGCTGCGAGTCTACCAAAAGCTATAGAAACACTTTTATAAAACATGCATCTTTGGAAATATGACCATGATTTCAATTCTCTTTCAATTTGTTGAAAACAAAAGCTCAAAACACATTGTGTCTGACATGCATGCTAACAAACTCAACTCTTTTCTTTCCAAAAACATACTTATATGAGATGTTAATGCAAAACCATGAAGGGACTTTCAAAAAATAACCAAGTAAGTCCCATGCGATGTATGAATTTGAAGAAAACCAAGTTCAGTGATGAATTAATTATGCATGCATGTAATAACTTACTCAACACTCAACAAAGCTCTTTGACTGATTTCATGCTTAATTCTTCCATTACATGCATGGTCCTACGAATTGTGAATCATCTTCCTACACAGTTAACTCAGAATTATAGGTGAGAATCATACCTAGAGCTTGAATTTAACCTTAGTTGAGCGTTAAAACTCTACAATCTCTCCTTAATTCCCTTGAGTTCCTCTTTCCTCTCTCTCTCTCTCTCTCTCATCTCTTTACAATGTTGAAACTCTTGTCTTGTTCTCTCTCTAATTTCAGCTCAAAAAGATGGTTAAAAATAAGGTATTAAGCTTGATTAGTGCCATTATATAGGGGTGATTAGTGTGACTAAAGTAAGTGTGGTTATAACTAATCAATTAAACTTAAATCTAAACGATTATAAATAATTATTCTAATTATTGATAGAATTAAATTTTAATCAAACTTACTATATAGTTCTTAAAAATTCTAAGTAGCCTATAAAATTAATCAATTTTGGTTTTTTGAATCCATTTGGGTTTTCAATTTCGTGAATTCTAAGTTGGTTTTCTAACAGATAATTTATAAACAAACAGATAAACATCAATTAAGCATATAATTATGTACATATGCCTCAATAAAATAATATATAAAAATAACACGAAGGTCGAGGTGCGTTCATAAGTATGGTAGTATTAGGTTAGAAAAATAATATAAAGCCTTTTTGTTTGTGCCACAAATCGACACTAGTAACCGCCCTAGGTTGAGACATCAACAATCGATTCAAAGCATGTTACATAAAAGATCTAGATATACAAGAAACACTGTAACCAATAATCTGATGACTCGTATGATCGGTAGTATAGAAATCAGGTGAATTATAAGGAATTGACACAATTGGTCTTTTAACCCAACCAATTTATGGATATGAATTAGCAAGTTTCAATCCCAGAAGGAGATTCTATAATCCCACTAGGTTGGATTGGATTATTAATTAATATCAGTGTCCATTTTTCATACAAACAAGTATGATCTGGAATGAGCCCCTTCACAATACTTAATCTAATTTCCTTTTCAAATTCCCAATTCAAACATTCAAATTAACCCACTAATTATTCGCAGTCAAAAAAAAAAAAAAAAAAAAAAAAAACTAAGAGAGTGTTTGTGGTGCACTATAAAAGTGTACTTTTTATCTTTTTTAAGTACATCATTTTTCTACTTTTCTACATATCTATTTATAAAAAATCAAAAACTATCCTTATTTCCAAACACTCCTTAAAATTAATCTCTCTCTACTCTCACTCTCTGGGCCAAGTTTATTGGGCAAGATCTGAGCTTAACGATTGTATATTTTAGAAAATTAGTTAAAAGTTAATTTTTTTTGACCTTTTAACTTTTTTAAATCACATCACATTTTTATTTTTTATACGTTCTTTTTAAAATAAAAAAATTAACTTTTGGACCTATTTCCAAAATAGGCCAATATAGCACAAGTTCAGCCCTGCCTCGATCTGTCAGAGAAAAGCCTTATAAGAGCATCCACATCAAAGTAGCTAAAATCGTTTTTTAGCTAAATTAGTGATATTGTTCATAAAAAATAGACTGCATCAGCCTCGCTATTGTTTAACGTTAATTTACGAGTATAATAGTATCTCACTATAACAAGCGAGGTACTGTTCATCGCTATAACATGGAGATTAGTATTACCGGATGTCCGTCCGGACATCTAACCGGTCAACGGCTAATTTTTTTTTGACATTTTTTAAGAATTGTTTAATTTGTAACTCATCAATTTAATAAAAAAAAAAAATAACAAATTTAATAAAAAAATAACATTTTAATAAGATTAAGTTAAAATCGAAAATTTGATACAATAGATATTGAAAAAGAGAGTAGTTAAAATAGTAAAATGGTGTGATGCTCTACGGGCAAGAACAGTGGCAATAAGGTAATATTGTTAGAAAACGAAGGTCGTTACAGCGCCGCTGTCGCTTTATGCTGCTTCTATGCAGCTAACCGACGAACAACTCTCTCAGAGGTCTCCGGGGCTCGGGAGACATCAAACCCATTGTGTCGGAGAGAGAGGAGGGCACTGCTCCGACTCCGAAAACCCCTCCATCCAAACCCCCCCTCTCTCTATATATATATCACTTTTGTTTTCAGACCTCTCTCTCGTCATCGTTCGTATACTCTCTCTCATCACTCAGCTGTGCAGCGGAGTTAGCAGAAGCATCGCATATTGATCGACCTTGATTGTGAGTTTTCGCAAATCTCTCTTCTTTTCGTTTCTTTCTCTAATAGCTGGGCTTTGTTATTAATCTCTTTAAATGTTCTTATTTTGAATTGCATTTTGTTCTCAAGAACCCTAATTTTGTGTTTTGAATTCTTCTATGGAGCTGGGTTTATATGTATTGATGATCATTTAAGAGCGTTTGACAATTATTAGGGTTTTGATAATCAACTGTGATTGGGTACCGAGTATTGATTACAGTGATTGACCATACAATAGTTAGGGTTCAAGTTGGTTACTTGAAAACTTAAAATAAAAATAAAAATATATGTATTGGAGCCATATGTCTTCAATTGGTTTAGTTGCTATGGTGTTATTATGCTATTGGTTCAGTTGGGCTTGATTTGTGAGTGCAAAATAAAGCTTTGCCAAGTCTTTGATCAATAGATGAGGTTTACTACTGAAACCAATAGCAGAAATAGCGATTCCGTGAGGTTTATAACAAGCTTATTTATATTTCTTGTAAAACACAAACATCCATATTTGGATTTGATTTGGAATTTGAACCAAAACTTGCAATTTCTTACTTCTGATAATTTTGGTCAAGGAAAGGGAGCTTGTAGCTTACCATACCACCATGGCATGGACAGATAAGGATGCTAGTAATGGGAAACAGAAAGACCCTGTTGGTGACAATGGGTTCTTGGAAGGAGTGCAGCTTGCTTCTGGTACCACTAGCTCTCTAGGCTGCATTAGTCCTGGACTGAAGAAATTTGAAGGGAAAGATGCTTTAACTTATGCCAACATTCTTCGCTCCAGGAACAAATTCATCGATGCTCTTGCTCTTTATGAGTGTATACTAGATAAGGATAATGGCAATGTTGAAGCTCACATTGGTAAAGCGATTTGCCAACAGATGCAGAATATGGGACGGCTTGCTTTTGAGAGTTTTGCGGAAGTCATCAAACTGGACCCGCAAAATGCATGCGCACTTACTCATTGTGGGATTCTTTACAAAGATGAGGGTCGGCTTGTTGAAGCTGCTGAGGTATGCTGGTGACAATCATGTTCCTTAATCATGAAGAAAGATAATTAATGCAATCATTGTTTTATTTAGTGGCTTTGCTGACATTCTGCGTAAACACTTCCTTTTCCATCATTGCATGTTGTTGCTGATTTTATTTTAAATGGCATCTAGTTGCTTTGGGTTTAGTTATAATATTCTGTGCAACATATACTTGCATATCTGACACATGGTGATGGATTTAATTTATGTTTCTTATATGAAGCCATTACAAGTTGTCACTGATTATAACATGCACTTAGTACTATTATTGTTATGGATATCACTTATTATAGGACGGGTGGTTTAATTCTTTTAGAATATGCTGAAGAATCTAATACCTCTGTCTTCCTTTCTTTGATCTTAAGCCTCAACCTGTGCAGAAATAGATTTGTGATTTTTCTTATCTGTAGGAATTAGAATTTTTCTGTGATGAGGTGTCTTAAATCTTAATCGAGCTTGATTGACTAAATTTTGGGCAATCTAGTTTGAACTCTATGCACTGCTTAGTTTGTATGGAATTTAAAAATTTGTATTCTAAGTCAACTCCAATCAGCTGCAGTTCCTTGTGTGATGGATTGAAGCTGACAGAATCCTTTGGGGAAAGTGATTGGAAGTGCAATAACTTGAACACTTTTGAGAATAGAAACAATAACAGTGAGGTCAAACAGTTATCAGTTCCAGGCACAGAGAGTAGAATTACTAAAAAAGACGTCAAACTTCCAAAGCCTCAGTAGTTGGAAGATTATGCCTTTTTTGTCCAAGTAAATTTGGAGAAGCTGGTATTCTTTTCCAATTGGTGGGGATTTTAGCTTTCCCCCTGGGTTTGTTGTCTTGGATGCACGTTTGTAGTTGTACATGCATGAATTCAGTTGCATTTTATACTTTTGCTATGTAAAGGCCGTGACTGGGCTTCACATCCATGGAGCACCTAACAATTTTCTTTTCTGCAAGTACAATTTTCTTCTGCCATGCATGCATAGAATTATTCTAATGCTAGTTGGGATTTTAATATTTGGTTTACAACATTATTATTGCTCTAAAAACTTCCATGCTTACTCATCACTTCCAATCAATTTTGCTTGATGCAGTCATATCAGAAGGCTCTGAGAGCAGATCCATCATACAAACCAGCAGCAGAATGCCTGGCAATTGTTTTGACAGATCTTGGAACCAGCTTAAAGCTTGCTGGTAACACTCAGGAGGGAATTCAGAAATACTATGAAGCTATTAAAATAGATTCGCATTATGCTGTAAGTTTATGTTCCTCCTAGTACCTCCTCTTTGATGTAGACAATTTTTAGTTTGCTTCATTATATATTCTGATGCATTCAGTTTGCATGTGCAGCCTGCATATTACAACCTTGGTGTCGTTTATTCTGAAATGATGCAATATGACATGGCCCTTAATTGCTATGAGAAGGCTGCTTTGGAGAGGCCCATGTATGCTGAAGCATATTGCAACATGGGTGTCATCTATAAGAACCGTGGAGACTTGGAATCCGCTATTGCCTGTTATGAGAGGTAGTCTATTTGTTAGAATCATATTTGTTTTCTGCAGGTGTTTGAAAAATATTTAGTATTTGATTGTAGTTTTCTCTGCTGATGCCGTGTGTGCTTTATGCTTCTGCTTTCTCAGGTGTCTGGCTGTGTCTCCAAACTTCGAGATTGCAAAAAATAACATGGCAATTGCGTTGACAGATTTAGGAACAAAGGTGGTTTCTGAGACAGTCGTTGGCTCTCGTACTCTTCTTCACGTAGTCACATCACATGTTAAACTGCATGAAATAATTCAGGGTTTTATAACCTGCAGAACTTTTCTGTCCTTTGCAATGTTACTATTTTGATTGTGACTTCATCCAGTAATGTCATAGTCACCATTTTGGAATCACGATCTGCTGTTAGATTAGTTGGAGTTGCTGCAATTTGTTTTGCTGATTTCGTGCTGTAACACAGTCCATGCCATGGTGCCTCAATATTATTGTTATTGAATTTGAAGTTTCGGTCTTCCATTACGTGCAACTCATCTGCCTAGATCCATCTGGAAGATGGAAGATGATGTCAAAACAAAATTTCATGTTCAGATTGAGGGGCTGTCACCCAACATATTATCACAATTTCTTTCTTTTACATATGGACTATAATTAGGGAGGAGAGAATTTGCAAGGATTATTTATAACAGAACAGTTTTCAACAATTGCTTGTAAAAATCATATTGTTCATTCTTTTATCGTGAGTAATTTTTTTTCTTCGATTTTGGATTCATGATATATTCAGGTTAAATTGGAGGGAGACATCAATCAAGGTGTGGCGTACTACAAGAAGGCTTTGTATTACAATTGGCACTATGCTGATGCCATGTATAATCTAGGTGTTGCCTATGGGGAAATGCTGAACTTTGACATGGTAAATAGCAGTAAAGAAGAATTATGTTCTCTTTCTCTGTCACTCTATCTGATGTTTGTCACTCTATCTGATGTTTGTCACTCTATCTGATGTTTGTTTCTTTCATTCTCAACAGCCATCATGTGTATGAAACTGATCTTGTTAAATACTAGTATTTGTTAGAAAATATTTTATTACTATTTTATTTCTCTCTAAAACCATCTATCTATTATACTTTTCTGTTGGTACCTTTATTGGGTGAAAACTAGATCTTGAGAAGTTTGATTTCACAAATCTTTATCTGTGCAGGCAATTGTGTTTTATGAACTTGCTTTCCACTTCAATCCCCACTGTGCGGAGGCATGCAACAATTTAGGAGTGATATACAAGGACCGTGACAACCTTGATAAAGCTGTGGAATGTTATCAGGCAAATTTTTTTTATGCATATTTACTATTTTTAAGCATCAAGTGGTAATTGGTGTCACATTATAATTATTAATTATTTTATGCAGTTGGCTTTATCGATCAAACCAAACTTCTCACAGTCCTTGAACAATCTTGGTGTTGTCTACACTGTCCAGGTTCAGTACTCATAGTCTTCAAAAATAATTGATATGATATGTTTGGGACTATTGGTGACAAGTGTTCAATACTTCTTTCAGGGTAAAATGGATGCTGCTGCAGGCATGATAGAGAAAGCTATTGTTGCAAACCCCACATATGCAGAAGCATATAATAACTTAGGTCTCTCTATCTCTCTCTCTCAACCTGTTGCCATCATGTTTGTGGCATCACTGTTCCTTTGTTGTTGTTGTTGTTGTTGTCATTTTGTATCAGTGTTAACTTGGATACTGTTTGATGCTCAAGCTAATAATTTTATCTTTTTTCTTGATGTTGAGGTCATGCTTATTCAAAATGTTGTGATCATTGTTCTCTTTAGTACGGAATGGAATAATTAGATCATGATTCATAAGAATCTATGAATGGAAAGGACGAAATGTGAAGTTGTAGTTCCTGAAGTGGGCATCCAAAGTAATAAATTAAGTCATGCATTGGTTAGGACAATTTGAATTTTTCATGTTGCACAACAATACCGACAACAATAATAAAAAAAACAAAAAAAAATAAAAAAAAAATAAACAAACAAATAAAAAGAAACATACAGACAGATATTCTTGTCAATTAGCCTATGTATTTGTAGTGGTTTTATATTGGTTCCTTATCACATGTGAGCCTGCTGAGTATAGGGCCCGTATGCATTCCTGTTATTCAGGTAGTAAACTACGTCTGAGAATATCAGTTTCTACATTGGGGTAAATAGACGAGACATCACTCTGGCTTGCGCTATGTTGCGTTGGAGTTGCCTATAAAAGATTTGGGAATAGGTTTTAGTTTTTACCACTATGATGCACTATTGTTCTTTTGTCTGCAACCCTTACCTAACACTCCACCAGGGATAATGATTACCTCTTGCTTATAGCCTGCCAATAGAGGAACTCAACTCATTTTTTCATAAATAGTCCATCGGCTGAAGTGTAACAAATTGCATACTCGGCATTTAGTTTATCAGGATTTGGTGTGCTGTTTAGAGGTATGTCTTATTCTTTCTGCAGTTGTCTTCATTTCTTAGAATGCCTGGTCAAAATTGTGTTTGAAAAACCAAAACTGCATGGCGTGTCTTTTCATTCTGTTCAGTGGGGGCTTTTAGTGTCATGGAGTTTCTAGTTCTGCACATTTTAATTCTCTGGACATTGCAAATGGTGTTCTGCTTTGAAAGTCTCTCTCTCTCACACGCACACACATTTATGCTATCAATTAGTTTCTTAAATTCCTTTTTGTATAGGGGTTCTTTACAGAGATGCCGGCAATATAACACTGGCCATTGAAGCTTATGAGCAATGCCTTAAGATCGATCCTGATTCTCGCAATGCAGGCCAGGTATTGCTGCTCAATATTGTTTACTTAGTTGAATGTTAATTGCTGGTTGTTTGTATTGCATGGAAATGTCAATAAAATGTGATTATGTGGGAGCAAGGTTTTGAAAAGCGGTTGTGGTTGAGGGGTATAAAGGCCGTAGCGTAATGGTTGCAGTAACCGGAACCGTGAATTTTAATTTTTTGCACAATTTGAAAAAAATTTGCCGATGCGTATATATATATATATATTTTGAATTTTTTTTTTCAGAATCATATTTATTAGGGTTTAAAATAGATTTTGATCAATTTTTATTAATTTTTAAGTATGATCCAAAAATTTCGTATTTTTAAATCACTATAAAAGGAGTTTTTTTTTACATTTTATTTCAATATTTCATGAATTTAAGAATAATTGATTTTAAATGTCTACAAAATTATTTTTGACCAATACCTGAACTAAGTAAAAAATATTTACAATTATTAAATAAAATGATTATGAAAATAAAAATTGTGCCATAAAAAATTTATTTTTGAGCTAATTATTTATTTTTTTTAAAAAGACATTTTCTTAAACAACACTTTACAGCTAACTAAATAAAATTATTTAAAATTAAATATTAAATGTAATGATTATAAAAATAAATACAACCATGGTTTATATATTACATGTTAATGTAATAAAATAAAAATTAAAAAATAAATTATAAAGATAAAAATTCAAACAAGGTTTTTTTTGGGTTTAGATCACTTGAGTATTCTTTTTTTTTTTAAAGTTTTTTTTTTTATTTTTAATTTTTGTAAATTTTTTTTTTGGGAAAGGAAGCTATTCAGAATATTGTTAAGTGTGTAAAGGCCGTAACGGTACCTCTACAGCTGTTACATATGTGAATTTCTGTCACACCGCAAAAGCGGGTGTAATGAGTAGTGCCTACTACCGCAACTATTACGTAACGAGCGCAACCATTACGTAATACCGCTTTTTAAAACCTTGTGTGGGAGGTCATTAGAGTTTAGCTAGATAGTTTCAGCCCATTGACTTTAGATGATGCAATGAGAAAGTACTTAAAATTTTGAAATATATATGTATTTGGGATAGAATAAGTTGAGATCATAGAAGCAATAGGAACATTATGAGAGTGAGATAGACAATACAATCGAGGGATTATATGAGCAAATGAAATCTTATCCCTTCATACATGCTCCCAACATCATCCTTATTTCCAACCTAAGAAACACCGACACTTGATGTGTTGGATTGGACACCAACAGGCAACACTCATTGGACACTTCCCAAAACTTATCAGACACATGTCCAAACCTGTCCAACTAATCATTCTAGAGTCAAAATGTCTAAACATGTCCAACTAATCATTCTAGAGTCAAAAACACTTCAGACACTGGAAAAACATGTGTTTATTGCTTACAAGTTTGAACAAAATGACTTGACATCCAATGATAAAGAAGAAACAACGTATATTTATATATATTCTCCGCATTTAGACTTTAAATATTCTTATTTTGAACTAAGGGTAAGTTACACTTGTCTCCCTTGAGGTTTAATGAAATTGCAGAATTCTCTCCTGAGGTTTCTGAATTGACTTAAACCTCCCTTGAGGTTTAGTTTTCTATTGCACTAACCTCTCCTGAGGTTTAATGAAATGTAGTTCACTAAGGTTTTCGAAACGACAGAAACCTCCCTTGAGATTTAGTTTTCAATTACACTGGCCTCCTCCGAAGATTAGTTAAATTGCTAAAACATTTCCTAAGGTTTTTGAAATGACATAAATCTCCTCGGAGTTTAGTTTTTAATTATTGATTCCCTCTTTTGATAGTTTATTGTAAAAAAATAACAGAAAATTTTGACATCATTCAAAAATTTAATTACATTTTCATTTTTTTTTTGATAACTAAATTTTATTACCACAGCATCAATAAGATGCTAAAAGAATACAAAACAGACCCCTCAAAACAGGGACCCAATTTACTAAATCATCAACAAAATCTAAGATAACAAATAAATTTGGATTCACCCTTCCCGACACCTAGCTGTACAAAACCCCCAAAAATTGAGTCTCGAAACAGGAAAAGGACAAAGCACTTCCTTGAAAAATCCGACGATTCCGTTCTAGCCAAAGCAACCACATCAAACACAAAGGACTTAAAGTCCAAGCCTTTCATCGTCGCTTCCCCACTTGGCCAGGCCCCCCCTCCCCCCCAAAACAACAAAGAACCTCCTTGACTTGCTTCAGCTGAACCAACACCACTCCAAACAAAGAGAAAATAAGCACCCACAAACGAGAAGCAAATGGACAATGAATCAACAAATGGTCCACTGTTTCTGCATCCGTGTAACACATGCAATACCAATTAACCAAAATATGATGCCGACGGATAAGATTGTCAATAGTCAAGATCTTACCAAAAGCTGCTGTCCACGCAAAGAAAACTACTTTCGATGGAACACCAGGGACCCACACAAAAAGCCAAGGGAAACCCCTCCTTCACCAATATAAAGAAGAAATTGAGAAAACATCTTTAGCCCTTGGAACTCCCCAAACCAAGACATCCGCCCCTTTCTGCCTAACCTGAACCCTGTATAGAAAGGCCAACAAATCCACAAACTGTCCAACCTCTCAATCCTGCGTATGATGACGAAGAACAATATCCCAAACCAAACCCTCACCCCCTTTAGCCAAGCAAGATGCCACCAGCACATCAGGATCCACCACCAAATGATAGATCAAAGGAAAGCGCTCTAGCAGGATAACCTCCCCACACCACTTATTCTTCCAAAACCGCACCCTTGTTTCATTGCCCACCCAAAACTGGACTCTATTCCGAAACTGGACCCTGCGCAGCCAAATCCCCTTCCACAACCCACAACTAAGAACCCCCCACCACCTTAGTACACCATTCTCCTCTCCCCAACCCGTACTTGGAAGCCACCATCCTGCGCCACTAGTGATCCTGTTCTTGAGAAAACCTCCATAACCACTTTCCCAACAAAGCTAAATTAAACCTACACAGCCTACGTACCCCCAACGCCCCAGCCATCTTAGAGCAACAGACTTGCTCCCAATTAATGAGATGATACCGAAGCTCCCCACCATCACTTCCTCCCAGAAAATTGCATTGCAAATTTTCTAACCAGCGAGCCACCGACACAGGACTAACATGCACAGACAGAAAATAAGTCGAAATACTACCCAACACACTCTTCACCAAAGTTAGCCTCCCCCCTCCCCCCCCCTTCAATAGATACTGCCTCTTCCACCCTGCAAGTCGGCGCTGAGCCCTTTCTAACACCCCATCCCACACCTCCTTCGCCTTATAAGGAGCCCCTAAAAGCAAACTCAAATAAGACACCCGCAAATGCTTACAGCCCAAAATTGCTGCTAAAAGACAAAAGTTGAGCAACTTCCCCTACTGGAATTAGCTCTGATTTCGCCAAATTGACCTTCAGATCTGAGGCCACCTCAAAGCATAACAAGACACATCGCAGATACCCTAATAGCTTTGGATTAGCCCCACAGAAATCAAAGCATCATTAGCATGCAACAGGTGAGAAACACTAACCCCATCTGCCACCATAAAACCTTCCAACAAGCCCTCCTGCACCACCCGAGACAACAACTGACTCAGCGCCTCAATGACAAGAATAAACAACAAAGGGGACAATGGATCCCCTTGCTGCAATCCCCTAAACGTCTGGAAATAACCCACTGGCGTCCCATTCACCAATACAAACATCCACACTGTCAAAATACAAAACCAGATCCACCACCTACACATTTCCCCAAAACCCATGCGCTCCATAACAACCATTAAAAAATCCCAGTTGACATTATCATAAGCCTTTGCAATATCCAACTTACAAATCACACCTAGCTGACCTTCCGCAACCGAGAATCCACACATTCATTGGCTACTAAAACTGCATTTAAAATCTGACGACCACCCATAAAAACATGTTGGGATTCAGACACTACCTCCTCCCACCTTGAACCGCAACCTATTAGCCAAAACTTTCATCAACAGCTTGTACACGCTACCCAACAAACTAATAGGACGAAATTGCTGAATATCCTTAGCCTCTCTGACCTTAGGAATCAAAGCAACAAAAGTCGCATTGAAACTCTCCCTAAACTGGCCCGTCTGATAAAACTGCGACACCACTGCCATCACATCCCCTTTGACAACCTCCCAACAGTGCTGGAAAAAAGCCATTGTAAAACCATCTGAACCAAGAGCCTTATCTCCACCCATCCCCTTTAAAGCCCCCACCACCTCTTGTTTTGTAAACGGCTGCTCCAACCCATCAAAATCCGAAAGCATATCAAAATCCAGACCGGCAACCCCGGACGCCACCCTTCCTCTGGCCTCCTAAACAGATGCGCATAAAACCCGGCAATTCTCATTCGAACCTCCTCCGCATCTGTCAACACCACCCCATTAACCTGAATCTTCCCAATCTAATTCACCCTGTGATGCGTATTTGCCATTCGATGAAAGAACTTTATATTACGATCCCCTTCTTTCAACCACAAACACCGAGACTTTTTCCTAAAACAGACCTCCTCCATCTGTGCAATTCGAACAAAATCTGCCCACAAACACTCCTTTTGAGCCAACTCCTCTTCCGCCAAACCTACATGAAGTGCCACCTCATCCAAATAATGCAATTGAGCCAACACCATGGCCTTCTGCCCATCCAAAAGACCAAAGACCTCGTATTCCAGTGTTTCAAGTCTGCCTTTAACCATTTCAGCTTCTACGCAAACCTATGGCTTAGAGAACCGAACACAGCATATCCCTCCCACTAACACTTCACCCCATCCACAAAACCATCCGATCGGAGCCACATGTTCTCAAAACGAAAGGGCAAAGAACCCCTCCAAATACCCCCACCATCTAGTAGAATTGGCCAATGATCAGAAACTGGCCTAGGCATCTGACTCTGAACCACCCTTGGAAAGTGCTCCTCCCAATCTCCTGTCACCAGAAATCGATCAATCCGGGAAG